GACCACCGTGTGGGTCATGGCTCTGCTGATTTTGGCCAGGCTCACAGATCTGGGGAGCAGCTCTCAGGAACACACATCTAGGCTGACCTATACCGGCCTGCTCCACATGGCTTCTTTCCCCAGCAGGCTAGACCAAGTGTGTTTATGCTGGTGGCCAACATGCTAGAGAGAAAGAGCCAAAACCTGCAAAGCCTGGTCAGGTGCAGCCGCGGAGCTGACACTGCCTTGTCTGCCACGTTGCACTCTGTTGGCTGGCAGGAGTTTCAGACCCAGCCCAGGTTCAAGGGAAGGGAAAGTAGATTCTGCTTGGAACTGCAGAGCCACAAGCAACAGGACATGCATAGAGGGAGGACAAGACCTTTGGCCATTAGGTCACAGTTGACTTTGTAAATCGCTTGTTGAACAAAGTAACAGGATCTTGACATCAGAACAGTGACAGGCTGGTTGGCCTCAGAATCCAGGAAACCCCTCTCCTTAGGCTGTACTTGCGAGGTTTTTATTTAATCTCTGTACATCTTGTGAGCACTTTGTTGACCTGGAGTGTTCCTAGAGTCTGCTAAGGTCAATGACTCAATGCAAAGCAAGGGGTTCTCAGAGCTAGCTGTGAGCCTTGGTGGCAGTTCTCTTCTGAAAGCAGTGGGGACAAAGACAAAGGGGCTATTTCAGACCCAGACTATGTGTTAACCAAACAGTCACAGTTCTCAGTGGCCTACACTGAGTGTCTGGGGTCCAGGAGATCATGAATGCAAATACACCATAAATGGATGGTGGCAAGAAAGAAAGATCTGAGACCTTTTGAATTACAAGAAATTTCTCCCATCGGTTCTGATAAAGAACGCTTTGGCCCTTTTTTCTCAACCTTCCTATATAGAGAACCACATTCACCAGCTGCTGGTGCACACACATCAGTGGTAAGCACTGGGTGGTGGTGTCTGTCCTGACAAGACAGCTGTAAACCTAATGCCTTGTTTATTTAACTGCCAGAACTAGTGCACATCAGAAGGGGGTGGGTGTGACAGGTAACCTGAAGAACTAACTAGTCAACACAACTCTATTACTTCGAGGCAGTCATAAATTAAAGAAATAAACCGCTGGTTTGAAAAGAGAGATGGACACAGATTGCTGTTCGGCTCACTGATGATTCTGACTAGTCAGTTAACATGATGGGATGCTAAGTTCTTGTTAAAGTTTGGAAGGATAAGAAACATCCTAGCTTCAGTTTTATTCTTTGGACTTTTCGTCATTCCTAATTTGTGACAAAAGTGGAGGCTCATTTTGAGTTTAAAGGTGACTTCTAATCTCTCTCCAGATTTGAGGCCTTTGTTCCACCCTTTCCTCCAGAAATCCTCCTTCCCCCCCTGGAAGTGACTTTCATCAAGATGCTTTTAGAAAGAAGAAAATGTTCCAAGCAAATGGTAGAGGCTACCTCACAGGGTTGATCTTGTTCACCCTGGATCTTTCAAAGAAAGCCTTGGAAAAATACCAAGCTGAGATTTCGCAAATAAAGCATAAAGCCACATGATCATCCTTAAAGATTCTGGAAAGGCATTTGAGGAAATTTATTACATGGTTTCTGATGGAAAAAAAGAAAACACCTCTCAGTGCAACCAGGCTAGAGGGCTTGAGCTGTCTTAATTCCTACAACTGCCTACAGTTGTTAAACTGTGTCTGCTAGGATTCTAGATCAAATCTTCATAGGCAACGTCGTGAAGATTGAAAGCTCTTTCCATTCAAGTCTGGGAGAGATGGGATCTCAAGTCTCATATCTCATTCCTCACTGTCTTACAGAACCTAGCTAATGCAGTGAGTTTTTTTTTTTTTTTTAAAGTGGGCATTATAAACACTGAAAAGAGCAACAACAGTTCCTAGAAGATGAAGATCTGATATTTACCTTGAACACTAAGAGGTTAGAAATGTTAGCACTGTTAGAAGCAATAAGGAAAAAACAGAGCTTGAGAGGGTGACACCGAACACTTAAGACTCTCTCCCCTCTGGGAAGAGCAGGGAGATGGATTGCCGGGAAGGGTAGAGGGAGAACTAGCACTTTTGCTTTCTTGACACACTCCTGCATGTGTTGATTTTACAGTGAACATCTTTAATAATTTGAAAATGAGATCTAGTGATACATTCTTAAATCGAAAGTTGTTATATTAAATGTTTGCAAGTCCACTAACGGTAGGACAAAATACTCAAGACCCTCCTCCCTGCTACCCAGTGGTGCTGTTGACATTTGAAACAAAGGGAGAAAATGAATCCAGTGGAGTTGATTCAGTAGAAAATGTCGATAAACACACTGATTTGAGGGTGTCTTTGAGGGAGAAAAAGGACCTGACTCCGTTTCTCAGATGCTTTGCCATTTGCTGCTTGGTGCTGGGGAAACCACTGGCCTCATCTGCGGTCCAGTTAGGCAGGTAGGGCTGACCTACTTGCATTGGAAGAAAGAGCTGAAGAGAAAGAACGCAAAGCAGGCTTCTGCCTAAATGTGAAGTGTTATTGTTAGAATGTCCATGAATGAATGTCAGAGCCCGGCGTCTCAGAGGGTTGCCACTAAATGAAGGCTACTCTTTGCAGAAGCTGAACTGTAAGTAGGCACCACAGTGAGGGGTGGAGATGAAATAGATAAAATATGAAAGACCATAGCTGGTAGAGGAGGGGTGTGTGTGTGTGTGTGTGTGTGTACATCTATACGTATGTATGTAAAGATTAAGAACATTTATAAAGCTGAATGTGTTTATAGCAGCACTGTTTACAATAGCTAAGCTTTGGAAACAACCCAAATGCCCAAAAATAGATGACTGGATCAAGAAGATGTGGTACATATACACCATGGAATATTACTCAGCATTCAAAAAAGATAAGCACATGCAATTTGTAGCAACATGGATGGCGCTGGAAGGGATCATGCTCAGCGAAATAAGCCAGAAAGAAAAAGAAAAATACCGGATGGTCTCACTCATAGCAGGAATCTAGAAAACTTAAATAAGGGACCAGGAAAATGAATAACTATAAGAAAGTGAAAATCAAAATTAACAAAAAACTATGAACCAGAGACACTTTTAGGGGGGCGGGGGCGGGAGGGGAGGGATTGGGGTCAGAATGGGGGGGCTGCAATTGTATGGGGAATATAAAAATAAAATTTATTATTTAAAAAAAAATAAATAAAATAAAAAAAAAGAACATTTATAAAGCAATAAGGAGAACATTTTAATATCACAGAATAATGAAGTGCTGAGGGAAAACTTGAGGTAACTGGGAGCAATTAACTTTGAGAACTATTAAAAGATGCTTCCAGAAGGTAGGAGAAGGGTGCATAGGGCAGTGTGCATGCGTGTGTTAGGGGTGGGGGAGAGTGGTGGTTGTCGTGATGGGGCATTGGGTGGCTTTGTTACTAAGTTCAAAGAGTTTCTAAAGGGAAAGTAAAATCCCCAATTGACTCAGATATGGTTTGTTTTCTGAGGCAATGTCAGGAGGCACAAGATCAAATCCAGTGCGACACCATCCAGTACAGGGCTCAGCAGTCTCTAGAAGCTGGAGCTGCGCTATGCACAGCCTGGCTCCAGAGAAGTCTCCATCTTCTGCCAATGCCCCGGGGCCATCTCTTCCTGGTTGGCGAGCAGGATGCAAAGAGAGCACAAAGCAAAAGGGGCCCCTAAAGTTCACTCAGAACTCTCATCTTGCCGGCCCCCCAGCGGGCCTTTCCTGAAAACAGATGACCGTGGTTTCGCAGCTTAGCTAGAGTGTGAGCATGTGGCTTCAGGCTTCAACCTGGGGCCTGTTTTAATGAAACGCAGAGGACACTTCACACGCCGTCCACACTGGCAGTGAGGAAGAGGAGGAGGAGGGCCAAACTGGGCAAGCTGTATTCTCATTTATTCTCTGGGAGTGAAAGCAGCTATCGAAAAATTCCGGTGAAGCCAGGGCTTATGGTTCAGGGCTCCCCACGTGAACACTGTGGTCTGTCACTAACTTCCCTGGCACCGGTGAAACACATTCCCAGATGCAGGGAAGCCTTTGTTCTGTGGACGGCGTGTGTGCCTTTCAGTGCCTTAGCCCGTGGGACCGCAAGTAGACGATAGACTGACTGGCTCTGTGATGTCCTTTCTCGCCTGTCAGATATTTCCTACACCTGCCTCCTCCTCACTGTCCCCGCTGCCGGCACTAACAATTGCATGGGTTATCACAACCTCCTCGTAGCTGATCTCACATCTCCAGACTCGCCTTCTCCAACCCTGGCACTGGTAATCAGGCTGAGTCTTCTTTCCAAACCAGCGTTGCTTGTCATGTCAGTGCTCAGAGTCCTCTGGTGATGCCCAGGCTGTATATACCGTCGCCCCTGTGCAGCGGCTCGGCCACATCACTGCCCAGCCACATCTCCTGCACGTCCCCTCTCCTCACGACGTCTCATGTTGTTTTAGTGCCACCGCTCCCCAAGGCTGCTACTCAAATGCAAGCCTCTGTCTAGTCTTTCATGCTGGATTACTTTCTTTTGCCAATTACCATTAGTCTCAAGATGCAGCTGCTCTGTGTCAGCTCTAGAAAGTGTTCCCTAAATGCCTTTGCAGCATGGGCTATTTCCTCCCACCTGGAAGTAGGTAAGGTTTACTCCTGTCAACACCCCACGGTAGCCTCACTGGTGAATTCTCGGTCTGATTCTCCTGACTCACCTGGAAAACATCTCAAAGGTAAAAATGATAATAGGGCGCTCCATTGCACCTTGCAGAGCGCCTGGCACAGAGCCTGTCACCGGCACGTGTCACCGGGAGAATGGACGTGTCTTTTTATTTCGTCTGTGAACGTGTATAGGTGGGCCTTTGGCCTCATCTGAGATGAGTGAAGTCAAACTCAGCCTGTGGTATTCTCAGGAGAAGGCGAGGAGGGATGAGACATGATGTTAGGGCATGTTCTAGTAAGGCGAAATCTCTCACAACTCACTCTGGAGCATCAAGTAGTTGTCTGTGGGTCTCGAGAGTTCGCGAATGAAAACTCCTGTACAGTTCCAGGTCAGCTGCTGCCAGCAAACCGCAACACACCGAGCCCCATCGACCCCGACACCATCCAGGTCCCCGTGGGGTACGAGCCGGACCCGGCCGATCTGGCCCTCTCCAGCATCCCTGGCCAGGAAATGTTCGACCCTCGCAAACGCAAGTTCTCTGAGGAAGAACTGAAGCCACAGCCCATGATTAAGAAAGCCCGCAAAGTCTTCATCCCTGACGACCTGAAGGTAAATTGGAACTGGTAATCAGGCTGGGGGAGGGCTAAGAGGGAGGACCCAGAGGCAGGTGAAAGGGTGACCTCAGATTGCTCACACCACTGTGAATGCAGGATTCTTGGCTTCTGATCCTGTGTCTTGGCCTGTGTCCCCAGGCAAGTGGCTTTTTCTCTGGGTGTCTTTGGAAATAATACCTTTCATATCTTGATAATGCACAGAAACTAGGAGAAGCAATAAAATGCTGGAGTGATTTACAACCTGTGAAGGAAGCAAACCTGATACTGTCTGCAGGGAAAACCATGAAAACCTAATAAAATTAAAGCAGAATCTTTCAAGGTTGAAAATAAACAGAAAATTGTTTGGGAAGGGCAGCTAGACTGCGCTCTGAAGGATACACTCCCTTTGGGAATTTACTGATAATTAACTGCTGCCCGTAGGCCTCAGGGAATAATAGCTGGAGACAGGCCCTCTCTCCCCACTGCTACCTTTCATGACCAGCTGGGATTTTGCTAAGGAAGCTGGTGGGTTCCCTGACACTATTTATATGCAATGCCCACTCTGTAGCTCATGTTGAGGGGACACATCATTTATAGATAAAAAGAGATTTCCCTTAAGAAGTCAGAAGCAACTTAAAACAAAACCAATCTGGTACATTTAATGATATCTTAGGAAAAGAATTCTTTCTCAAAGTATGCCATGTCCACGAATACCAAAATGGGACTATTTTTGATTATTGTTTAGAATATTTTGTATCTATATTTCTTTCCAATCATGTGGACAATAGAGATGTGATTATAGAATGCAAGGCACTGGAAAGAGGCATAATTAATCCTTTTCTGATTCCTGACCCCCATTCTCCAAATTAAATATGGTTCACATGGAGAGAGACTCCTGGGCTGGGAACATGGGAGTTTGGAACATTATTCTGGAACTGATTTAGGCCAGTGGCTTCTGCTTTTCCTGTCTAGAAAGAACAGTGGAGGGCAAAGTACCTGGCAGATTCCAGTTCCTGCTGCGTCCACATACCTGAGAATCCCTTCAGAGAGGCAGAAGCAGAAGGTCAGGGCTGAAAGGGCCCTCAGACACGCATTAGACCCAAGTCACCAGTTTGCATTTGAGGAAAAGGAGATACAGGAGAAGAAAGGTGAAAACTGCTAGCTAGAGTGAGGTCTGGCTTTGTCCCCGAGTCTTTGGCTCCTAGTGACACACCACTAGCTGTCACTCTGAGAATCTAAAAGGAAAGTGTGTAGTAAAAACACCCACAAACATCAACAGGACAAGGAATTGATGGCTGGATGGATGGAATTAGCAGGGGAGCCAGGGGTTCAGGTGCTGGGCAGTTACCTCCTTTCCGCTGGCTGCTTCTCCTCACTCTGTGTTCTTAGCCCTTCTATTCTGGGCATATTTCAGAGCTCGTCTCTGAAACTAAACCAGGCAACCCGTTCAGCATGAATTTCCTCTTGGAAGGTAGTTTGAAAGGATGCTGCTGAGTGGTAGATGTAACTTGCAGCCAGGCCTTCCCAGGGTGTCCACATTTACAAGTTCAGAAGAAAGAGCAGGCTTACTTAATAACCCAGGTAACCTTGGCAACAAAAGCCAAGGTGAAAACTGTGCTGGCATATGTGCATATTCCTGCTGCCATGGCCAGGCCTCACCTTTTCACGTGGCAGGTGGGACTCAGGCAGGAGTACTCTTCTGCCAGGTGTCCTTGGGTCGCTTCAGTGGTGAGTGAAGCCTCAGGTCGCATGCAGGCCATTATATGGAGCAGGAAGCAGAACTGCCACGCCTTCTCCTCTGGCAGAGAGGATATGAGCCAGGAGTGGGGGGAGAGAGCTTTGTGGGCCTGCCAGCATTAAATGAGCAAGCTGACGGATCGAAATGGCCCTGGCCAATAAATGGCCTTCCTCACCACTCTCTGAACTTTCTCCCTTGAGCCCTTCATCATTTGGGTTAGCACGCACCCCCTAGGGTTGCTAGCTGAGGACCAGTCTAATCACCTTGCTATCTTAATACTTTCAAATGTCCATTCATTCATCTGACAAATATTTCTCAAATGCTGCTCACGTGTGCCAAGCCCTGCAGGTACCCACGTGAGCCAGTGCTGACTTGTTCCAATCTTCAAGGAACTTCTAGATTAGCAAGAAAAAGGGAATCAGGAGGGGCTGGCAAGGTGGGGGGGAAGGTAGCCTCAACACAAGACCCTCGCGAAGAGGATGGGAGCAGGGCTGAGTGGTTCTGTGCTGGGAGAGGGAGACCAGGAGCCGGAGGCATGTGGACCTGAGAGATGCAAAGGGGATGCAATGTTGTGCCAGACTTCTCTGTCCCGCTCAATATCCTGCTTCCGCCTCGCCAACCATGCAGTGACAACAAATTGAGGCAAGCTGGTTTTTTTCTAGTCCAGGGCAGTGCTCCTTTCATCAATCGTTCTGCCTTCTGTGTCCTCTGCTCCTCCTGGCTCCCCTCCCGCCTGAGAGGGTTTCCAGGCCACACTTGCCCAGCTCATCTGCCTGTGTGGATGCACAGGTGAGGCTGGGAAATGGAAGCTCTTTAGAAGTAATAAGAGCTCGAAGAAACAGAGAAGTTCGTTGTTACCCAGAGGTCAGCAGTTCCCCCTCCATCCTCTCACCCCTCCCCTTTTATCCTTCGCACCCCCAGCTTCTACAATTTCCCAGGAATCTGTTGTCAGGTACTCCTTACCTCCTGCCTCCTGTGCCCCTGTGCGCAGATTCTGATATATCCTCAGTCAGCCCCTCTTTCAAATAAGTTGGAACAGCGTTCTCCCGAGAAAACATGGGTGGTTGATTTACTCATACTCCCAAGGGGGTGGAACTGGGCTCACATCTAATAGCACAGATAGCTTCCACCAGAACTGCAGGCCTCACCATTGTTCATAAGCCCTAGGCCAGCTTACCCAGGGAAGCCCCCTGCACCCTGACTCCTTCTAGCTTCTTGCATCACTGGCCTCACCTCTCCCCACTTCCCCTAGCTTGCCTCTTCCTCTCAGAAGCCCAAACGAATCCCACCAACAGCAACAGCCTTTGCATACCTGCCCCAAGCTTACTAATCCAGGTATTCTTCGCAAAACAGCTACCTCTCTAAGAAGAATTCTGGTACCAGTTATTATACAGATCTTTTTTTTCCCACTTTGTTTCATAGTGGTTTGCAATGTATAGAAAGCTGTGAGTGCTTTATAAATACAATAAAATACCAGCTTGTGAGCTGCAGCCAGAGGTGCCTTCACATGCTTTCTGTCTCATGCTGTAGGTCTTTGTGCAGGAAAAATGTCTGCAGGGGTAATGGCAGCTGTGGGGGCGGGCCACTGACTTTGGACCTGCCTTGCACCCATGTGACTCCTCCAGTGCTAACTGCCCCTTCTTATCCTGGGAGGGTAAGACCTGGCCTCACCCACTTACCTTGTGTGGCATGTAACTGCAGGGATTGGCCTTGAGAGGATGGAGGGATTGCTGTTGCAAGTTGTTGAATAAAAAGAACTTGCAATATTCACCAGGTGGCACCAGAAATGAATTGGGAAGGTCTAAAAGAAGACCTTCGTCTCTTAGTATCCCTAGGAAGGATTTCCTTTCTTCTGGCAGGGTAGAAGACAGGATTGCTTTCACACTGATCTCAGTTAAGGTTAAGGTCTAGAACAGTTAAACAGGAAATTCAAGTAAATTACTTAATTCTAGCCATCAATAGGCGTATATTGATTAGTGGCTGGTAGAAGTTTTTTTTTTTAATTTCTATTTTCTTTTTCTTTCTGGCTTATTTCGCTGAGCATGATCCCCTCTAGATCTATCCATGTTGCTGCAAATTGCATAAGTTTATCTTTTTTGATTGCTGAGTAATATTCCATTGTGTGTATGTACCACATCTTCTTGATCCAGTCATCTATTTTGGGGCATTTGGGTTGTTTCCATAGCTTAGCTATTGTAAATAGTGCTGCGATAAACATAGGAATGCAGGTGCCCTTTTGAATTAATGTTTCTGTGTCCTTTGGGTAAATCCCTAGGAGTGGAATTGCTGAATCATATAGAAGCTCCATCTTTAGCAGATTAAGAAAAATACCGATGGTCTCACTCACAGCAGGAATTTAGAAAACCTAAATAAGGGACAAGGAAAATCTAAATAAAGGACCAGGAAAAAGACTAATTATAATAAAGTGAAAATCAAAATCAACAAGCAACTATAAACCAGAGACACACTACGGGGTAGGGAGAGAAGGGAGTAGGATCAAAACAAGGGGGGTGGGAATTGTATGGGGACTATAACCACGATGAAAATGCATACAGTGTGCAAAAATGAAAAATGATGTAAAAAATATATATAATAAAATTTTAAAAAATTTCTATTTTCAATTCCCAAAGTGTATATGCCCACTGTTCGGTATTCTAGTAGTTTAAGAGGATATAAAATAAAGAGTGAAAAATTCTACCTTTTTTTTTTAAATTTATACAAGAACTGGGGTACAGACCAGAGGTGAGGGAGGGTGAGATAATTCAACAGAGACAGAGCAGGGAGCAGAACAGGCAGGTTTACTGAAATATACTGCTGAGGGGTTCAGCAGGCAAGACAGGAGAGGTCTGCCACACCATGTGGGAATCTCCCTGGCCAGCCAGGAACTGAACCTGCACTGCAGAGGCTGCAGACAGCTTCACAGTGCTGCACTCAACCCGCTGTGCCACCGGGGAGGCCGGAAAGATTCTACCTTTCTTTAATCCCCCTCCTTCCATTCTTTAAGGCACCATGTTTAATAGGTTGGTATGAATCTTTTGGGTCCTCTTTCTGTGAATCAATACTGTGTTTTTTTAACCAAAATGGGATGAGGCCATATTTACCTGTATATTACCACTGTTTCTACCACCCCACCCACATGGTGGTATATCATCAACATCTGGCTCAGCGGGATCATTGTGTTTAACAATTGCAGAGTATCCTCTTGTATGATTCTGCTATCATGTTATGGATAATGTCCCCATCCTTATCAGCTATAAACAATGCCTCAGTGAAACTTGTGTACCTGTGTTGTGCACGTGAAATGGCCTTGGGATCAGCTCCTAGAGGTGGAGTTGCCTTGTGCATTGGAATAGTTGAGCCACAAACCAGGTGGTCTTCCAGCCATACTGTATCAGTGTATACCAGCAAGCATCTGGGTGATGGAAGAAAAGGGTTCAGAAAACAAAATTTTCATCAAAAGGGAGTCAAGAAATTAGGAATTTTTAGGGTGTGAGTTGAGCCGCTAACATTCATTCAGCCGCAGAGCTCTCCGTCATTGGTCACATACTCCCCTGGGCAGAGGGAGGAGGAGTATGTTGTGACAGGTTGGTCCTTGCTCCAGGAAGGAAGCCACGTTCAGGACCATCCTCTCAGCCATGCAGAAACTATAAAGCAGGAGACACAAGGTGGGAGACCTGGGCTGGTGCCTCAGTGCAACCCGGAGGCCTGCCAGTGGCCTGGCCTGAAAGACACTCAGCTTTGCTGAAATCTAATATCTTGTTTCTTTTTCCTTCTGTAACTAATGAGCAGGATGACAAGTACTGGGCAAGGCGCAGAAAGAACAACATGGCAGCCAAGCGCTCCCGAGACGCCCGGCGGCTGAAGGAGAATCAGATTGCCATCCGGGCTTCGTTCCTGGAGAAGGAGAACTCGGCCCTCCGCCAGGAGGTGGCTGACTTGCGAAAGGAGCTGGGCAAATGCAAGAACATACTTGCCAAGTATGAGGCCAGGCACGGGCCCCTGTAGGATGGCATTCTTGTGGGCTGGCTTTTGAATAGATGGACAGTTTGTTTCCTGTCTGATAGCACCACACCCGAACCAACCTTTCTGACATCAGCACTTTACCAGAGGCATCAACACAACTGACACATTTTGGTGTGTGTGCGTGAGTATATGTGCTTGTGCTCGTGTGTGTGTGGTCAACGGTGTGTGGGCGTTCCTTTGCACTTGCCATTTTAAGAGAGCCCTCTCATCATCTTGAGTCCCCCCCAAAAGAAAGGTGCCATGTTTTTACTGGACTCCGGAGCCCTCTCTGGGGTTTCCTGCAGACCCCCTTGTTCCCCACCTCCACCCTTTCAGAATTGCTTCCTGTTCTTCTTACCTACTTTTCGGGGACCCTCCGCTTGGATCCACTAAAAGGGCCCCGGTAGCATAGTAGAGCTCAGTTTTCAAGACTGCAGACTCTTGTTTCTGTTTAATCTGTAAGTTTCCATGCTGATTAGGTGCCGTGGATAACTTAGCACTACACTGCAGCTCCGTTCGGTTACAGGTTGCTTTCCTCATTTTTTCAGTTCTGGTGATAATCGTCTTCAAATTTAAAGTGCTGTTTAGATTCATTAGATCTCATATTTACTTACTGCTCTCTACTAAGTTTCCTTTTAATTCTACCAACCCCAGATAAGTAAGAGTACTCTTATAGAACACAGAGTGTGTTTTTGCACTGTCTGTACCTAAAGCAATAATCCTATTGTACGCTAGAGCATGCTGCCTGAGTATTACTAGTGGACGTAGGATATTTTCCCTACCTAAGAATTTCACCGTCTTTCGAAAAACAAAAAATTAAAGTATGCATTTGAGCATGCCCAGCACATCCCCAGGACAGGGAAGCAGAGGGAAATGCCAGGTCTAAGAAGGAGGGGTTAATTTATCAGTAAGTAAGCCAAAAAATGCATCTTGGAACAACTTTTGACGTTGACATGTTTGGTCCTATATCCCACCACCCACTTTTCTAGTAAAAGTTTTCCATAGCCCTCTTGATATTCAGACAACTCAATTGCTTAAGATTCAGTTTTCCCCAATTTTTGTAATATATATATTTTTTGTGAATTATACTTGCTGTTTTTAAAAATCAGTTAATTAAGTTAATAAGTTGATGTTTTGTAAGACCCTCTTCCCTAGTGGTGTCATTTTTGAATGCTTCATAAATTAATAATTCTGGAGCTTATGTTTCTTATTCTCTGTTTGCTTTTAAACATATGTGCTCTTATAAAGTGGACTTCTGAAAAATGAATGTAAAAGACACTGGTGTATCTCAGAAGGGGATGGTGTTGTCACAAACTGTGGTTAATCCAATCAATTTAAATGTTTACTATAGACCAAAAGGAGAGATTATTAAATTGTTTAATGTTTATACAGAGTAATTATAGGAAGTTCTTTTTTGTACAGTATTTTTCAGATATAAATACTGACAATGTATTTTGGAAGACATATATTATATATAGCAAACAGAAAAGGAAAACTATTCCATGTTTTAAAATTATATAGCAAAGATATATATTCATCAATGTTGTACAGAGAAGAAGCTCTTGGGGATTTTGAAGCCTTTCATATTTCAAGCCAATCACTGACACATTAGCATGTTTTTCTGCTTTAAATTAAAATTTTATGACAATATCGAGGCTTATTGTGACAAATTCCGCTCTAAAACATATAAGGAACTTTCTTGTTTCCTCTTAGGTCTCAGAAAGAAGTCAGTGAATGTCACCCAAAAGCACAAAATGAATGTTAGTCAAATATTTATTGGATGATACCGTGTTTAGGAAAAGCATCTGCCACAAAAATGTTCACTTCAAAATTATGAGTTCCTGGAATGGAATATCACTGCAAACACCCCAAATGGTTCTGTGCTCTGTGGCCACGGGCATCTTCTGCAGTAGAAGGTTGATATCGGTGCTATGTGTATGGTTTATAATCGGGTAGATGTTTTGACTTTAAAGGTGATTGTTCTTTTGTTTTACTAAGTTGTGTAATGTCAAGAGATTCTGCTGTTATCACAAAGAAACATTTTGTGCTAGATTAAAATATCCTTTATCCATAGGATTTTCTAGTTTTCTGCCTCCCAAGTATCTAATTCTTTAATGGCTTGGTGGTCTTCTTGTCAATCCATCAGCAATGCTTCCCTCACGGTGGTATCACCTTGGAAAACCTGACTAGGAAGCTATTCCTACTAGGTATGCATTTGGCCTCAGCTATGGATTATGGGGAGAGATGGGAGAGTCCTGGAACTGAAACAGATTGTTCTGGTAAATAAGTAATGAAACAAAGCCATTGGCAGCCTACGCAGAACTTCACAAGTGATATTCAGAGACACATGGACACAGGTTTGACCTTTTTACAGAGGTAAAGAGGGTAGCTGCAACAGAATTGTTAAGAGGCAGTGGTGACCAAAACATACGCAGATGACATCTTTCAATGGAGAAATGCTGAGAGGTTGCACCGTGGCTCATCCACTTTCATTGACGTGTAAAATGGTAGCTGAGAGTCTGTATGTGAGCACTGGTCGTTCTTAGAATTCAGCTGTTTGTATCAAATGAGCGTCACCTATTTTTTCTGCAGAAGAAATAAAAGGCTCGTTTAAAAAAAAAATTATTCCTTTGTATGCCAGGAGAGATTTCCAAAGCCTACCTCGTCTTAAACATGTTTAAACTTTGGAGCCTGTGCAGGTGCCTTCTGTGTGGGTCATTGTCCCAGACACGCCTGAGCACTCTTGCCTGGACTCATTCCACCAGTCCAGGGCAGCTAACTAGCAAAAAAGCAGTTCTGGTAAGTGCGTGGGCCCCATGGCCTGATTTGGAATGATTTGGATCAACCAGGGTCAAATGAGTTCTCCAGACTGCAGCTATTCTAAGAGTCCTGTTGTCATTTTTCACCTCTCCATCATAAGCATCTTTCAGAGATTAATTACTTGACCATTAAAAATGAATCCAAATCATACCATGCCAAAATAACTTAGACACTATTTGGAATGAGCGGCCTAGGGCTTCCTGACAAGGTCACATCGCCGTTTCTACTGCCTGGACTTTGCTAAGAAAGACAAAAATTGAGCAGCCAGTCCTGCTCTGCGCCTTGTAGGGCTGGTGAGGGAGATGGGAGGGCTTCCTTCTCTGGAGAAAGTGGTCACCTTTTGAGCATTGTGAATTTTGACATTCAAACCCCACATTGGCCAAGACCGTGATAGACTTTTCTTCTTCAAGTATAACCGGTCTCCCTGAAACCATCTCTCAAAGCAGAAAGACCCTACTTTGAGGAGCATGTAGATAGGGTTCCAGCATTGGGTGGGGAGGAAGTTATCCTAGAGATGCCCTTGCAATGCACCAATTTTGGGAGAGACCTACAATAATCATGAATGTACGTTTAAAACCCCCAGATTATTTTTTTTAATAGCAAAAAAGAAAAAAAAAAAGATCTGGAGTCTGTTTCTGGAAGAATCCGAGAGAATTTTAAATGGAGCCCTGGTCACCTGCTCCAAGGTAAAATAAAAGATGTTCTATAAAATACAAAGTTATGTTTTGCTTTTTTCTACTAGTTTATCTAATTTTCCCCTCAAAACTTTGGGGAAACTCAAAACTTGACCAGAGTTCATCAGAGCGGTCCCAAGGCAGGCGGCTTGACCTGCTCACCCATGTAGAGTACAGAGGCCAGGATTTAATGTGGGCAGTGAGTGGTGGGTCACCGGAGACCATGGGCGGAACCTCTGCTCCCAGCCAGCCAGCTTCCTGCCACGGGCACCAGGACCCACATGCCCCAGGGCAAGGATGCCACGTCTATAATTAATAATGCCATTTTTAAAATGAGCAAAGCCTTATCCCAGATGTTGATTGATTAGATTTGGGAACTAAAGCAGTACATTTTGCAGAGGGCCAACCGTATGTATGGGATGTAATGTGGGGGTGGGGAGAGAGTTTGCTAGAGAGGAAGGGAGGGAGGGAGGGAAAGAGTATATTTAAGTCAAGACAAATTTTGGAGCACCTCATCCAACATCATAATCCACCGTGATCCTTTTGGCAACACCACAGAGACCGCATCTGTTAAACGGGTACAAGTTCATATGAGGTCATTTTAATTCTCTACCCTGATTTTGGTGGTCTGTATGCTGTTAAATCCAAATCTTTGTCTGGTTTTCTTCATGTTTAATAAACTTTGAATTTTTTCCTTTCTTTTATGTATATTTGTTGACAGTCTGCTAGCAATTAGATTCTGTTTCCAATTCTATCACCAAGAGAGCTTTTACAGAGATTAATTACACAAATGATAAAATGTAACTAGCCATAAATTAACACTTAATGAGCCTTTATGTGCCAGACACTGTGCTAAACACTTAATGTGGAATATTTTATTTAATACCATATCAAGCCTATGAATTGTTTCGGAAGAGGAAATGGAAAATTCGGGAGGTGAAGTAACTTGCTTAGCCTTAGACAGAAGTGACAGAGATGAGTTCTGGTTCTATTGAACAGGCATCAGTTAGAGGGTCCTTCCCAAAACAAAACAAAAAACAAAACAATCCAAAGACTCTTCTGATTGGATGTGTAAGAGTCATTTGGGAATGGATATAGGACTATAGGTCTAGCAATTCTGAATCAGTAGATCTGGGATAGGGCTCAGAAATCTGAAAATTTTTAAAGTTCTAGCTAACGCCCATGGGTGGCCAAGTCATCGGGGCCAAGGATTTATAAACTTGGCCATAATTTGAAATCATGGAAATGGAAATTTGAATTCATGGGGGCTCCACATAGAGATTTCAAAACTTTCATAATTACATGAAAATATATGAAAATATATGTGATTCATAATTACATGAAAATATATGTGATTTTTTGTGTATACCCATATTTTCTGTAGGGGAGGTCCATAGCTCCCCCCACAAGCATGCACACACATATACACACACACACACACACACACACACACACGCACGCAAGGCAGGAAGAGCCCTGGTTTATAGAAAGACTGATGTTGTGTGGGGTTCCCATACTGGCCCAGGTAGCCCAGTAAAGTCATCTGGGGAGCCCCAAACTCTGTCCCTGTGTGGGCCAGGTAGGGGACCAGGAACCCAGCATCTCTGAAATGAGAGAAGAGTGTTCTGTGAGGACCTTAATGACTGGCTTCCCATCATTCACCTGGTGTGTGACCTTGAGCAGCGACTAAGCATTTTTATTTTTTTAAAGATTTAATTATTTATGCATACAAGAGCTGGGGCATAGGCCAGAGAGGCAGCAGATGGGGGGGGGGCTGGGGGGTGAGAGGATTCACCAGAGACAGTGGGGAACAGAACAGGCAGACTGACTGAAGTACACTGCTGAGAGGAGCAGCAGGCAAGACAGGAGAGGTCTGCTGTGCCAGGTAGGTAGCTCCGGGGCTGGCCGGGGACCGAACTTGTGCTGCAGAGGCTGTGGACTGCTTCATAGTGTGGTGCTTAACCCCTTGTACCACCAGGGAGGCCCCTCGTAAGCATTTTTAAACCAAAATCTTCTCATCTGTGAAATGCAGGCCTGCTCTCTGCCTTGGAGGGGTGTGCAATGGCCAAGGACAAGAGCTCCATGGCTATGTGGTGGGCCCTCGGTTAGTAACTCCATGGGATCAGGGAGTAGAATATTCACCTGGCATTTTTTCCAGAACAATTTCCCTTTGATGAGGATAGGAAAAAATTCTGCTCAAAAGAAAGAGCAGGGGCTGGTGGTGTGGGAGTGGGTGATGCCCTCACATAGACGGGGCTTCCCACTCAGGAGGCCCTACCAGGGCAGGCTCTGTGCTCAGGCCTATGAGCCTCCTCCCAGGGGTGGCTCCTTCCAACTCAAATTGAGCTGTTATAAGTCAGAGTTCAGCTCTGCTTTCATTATCAAACACCTCTTTCCTCTCCAAGTGATGAATACAGTGACCTTAACGTAAGATTCCTATAAGGCCTCTGATTTTGTATTTGGCTTCTTCAAAGGTCTTGGAGGAGATGATGGTTTCTCTATACCTGGAAAGCCGGCAGAATGCTATGATGGCAGGATCCCACATGAAGCCAGGTTCTGGGGACTCCATCACTCCCAAGCCCTCAGTGCCCAGGGCCCGCACAGGCTGCTCCATGGGTGGCTCTTGTTTTACCCTCCAAGCGTCACATCCCACCAACCATCAAGCCCTTCTGCTCAGAGCATGTGGATTCAATTCTGTCTTTGAAAATCATTGGCTGAGAGGAGCTGGGTGAGAATTATTCTTAGCCAGGAGCTGGGTGAGAATTATTGAAATTTGGCCTTTGTGGTTGGGAGACGGCTTCTTGGTAATAAATCAAAATGACCTTTTGGAGGAGAAAATGAAGAAGGCAGTGAGTTTCCTTTGCTTCTCTGGGTTTTGAGGCAGGAGAACTTGGGTCCAAAACCCTCTCTCTCTGACTTCTTTTCATCCTGCCAAGCCTGGCACCATGCCTGGAAATGTTAGGAACAGCTGACAGCTACTGAGTCTTAAACTCTGTACCTGCCACATCTCATTTAATTCTTATGGTATGAAATAGATACTATTATTATCTCTGTTTTTGCAGATGAAGAACAGGCACGTGGAAATGAAATGAGAAGAATTTAAACCCAGACATAAAGCTTGATTCCAGAGTTTGTGTCCTAAACCACTGCACTCCATGGCTTCCTGTGAAAAATAGGCTTAAGAAAGCCAAAAAGCAATTACTGTGGCAAGAAGCATAGCCTGGAGCAGCCAACCCTGGACTCGAATCCCTAATTTATTATTCACCATCTGTGACCTTAGAAAATTCACCAATTGCCTTTAATTGCATCTATAAAATAGGCAAAAGAATACTCTCCTTATAGGGTTGTTACGAGGATTAAATGACAACACACATCTAAAATATATAGATCAATGCCCAGAGAGTAAAAGGAATTCAACAATTGTTTGCTTTTTATAATAATAGCAGTGATTATTAATATGTGTTGTTTGGCTTGATTGCAGTGGTGTTACAATAGATCATGTGTTGTGTATTGCAGTGGGTGCATTTTTATTTTGCACATATTTGATTCAAGAGCCACGGTCACATTTTGGCAACATCCCTCTTTTTGGATGAGTAAACAGAGGAAGGAGTAGGACCACATCATGAATCAATTATGAGATTGATTTTATGGACATGAAATTCATGTCTCTGATATTGTTGGGATTTGGGAGAACTTTGCTTTCACAAATGTGCTGAATGGTACTGGAAGGCTGAATCTTGCACTGTGAGAGATGCCAGCTGCTCACACAAAAAGGAATTCATAGGTGATTCCAGTGTCTTCCTGTTAGCTTCTGCCCTCAGACCTGCCTCGGTCTCCCCAAGGATATAGAGAGCTGAGAGCCTGAACATATAAGGGCAACAATCACAGGCCAGAGTGTGGCAGAGGGTCATGCGGCAGACAGCAGCAGAATGGCTACAGAGAAAGAGACCCCGAGAGAACACCAACGAGCCCAGAGAGTAAAGATTCACTCAAAGCAGGAAGGCCTGCCAGCCTGCCAGCCTCCAGCCCCTGGCCTGCCTTGTACCTGGTTGCCTCACTGCAAATGGTGTGGAAAGATTACGAAAAGCCTGAAAAAGCCACCGAGGGCTCCAGGACTCTCCTTTATCCATCTGTCTGGATTCATAGAAAACCTGCTCTATGCCTTGCTGGCACTTCGCCACACAACTGGATTTGGCCAATGAAATCCAGTGTTCATGAGACAGGCTCATAAACATCACCACATAATCTCTTCTCCTTTTTCTTTCTTCTGACTCCCGCAGAGGCCCCAGGGGAAGAAGGAGACTAAGAAGGAAGGGACCCAGGTCTCGGAGTCATGGATGTGTTCCATGAAGGAGAAAAAGTCTTTGAGAGCCTGGGGTGGGTTGCTGAAGTGGCCGGCCTACCCTAATATGAGAACTTCTTCTTAAGCCCAATGTCTTATTTGAAGTTTTGCCCTCTTTGCCAGCCTCCAACCCAGGCTGGGGAAGTGGAAAATATCCCGGTTGGAATCTAGGCTCATCACCTCTCACATACATGACTTCAGGTTTCCCTACCTTCTGGACAGAATTTCCGCTCGGGTTTGGCCCAGCTGGTTGGATTAGACCTTCAGGATATCAGTGACTGCATCTTGCTTCAGTTTGTCCTGCATCTGAACACTGTCCAGAGCTGTCCATGAACCCTGAAGGCGACCAGCCTCTACCCCCAGGTCAGCTTTCCTGTCCTCCACCACCCTTGTCTCCAGACTGGCTCCCAGGCCACGCAGTCTCACCTCTAGCCCCTCCAGGTGTTCAGATACTCAGAAATGAGACCTACCATTTCTTGGGGCATTGCTCTTCCAATTTTTCCCACACATGCTCTTGAAAATTCTTTTTAAACCAGGACCTGCACTGCACGTTATAAAATTGACAGCTATAATTTTTCATCAGAAGTTTAAGTAGCTACAAAGGATACAATAGCTGCTCTGTTATAAATATTGGCATTTTAAAGTACATCAGTACCTGGCTTTTTTTTTTTTTAATGTATTCAATAAACTATAAACACCCTAGTGATTTGATACCTACCGATATCCGTTTGAAAAACGTCATTGGAATTTGTATATCACTATTTTCCTTGAAATCATTAATTCTGCTCTATCTTCCCTCATTGAATTTGTTTCAACCATACTCTATTTTGTGTTTGAAAGTCTTTCCATCATATTTTTTCAATCATGAATCTATATGTGTAATAAAATTATTTTTATTTTTCTCAAAACATAAGTCTCAAAAAGCTTAAAATTCTTCCCTAAGGTATGGTTTATAATTACTGTTATTGCCAGTATCCAGTTGGTGAAAAACACATATATGCACTAAAATTTTTTGGTAATTCTTGACCTTGGGAAGAAAAGCATTAAAGGAATGTCAAATCTAGGGAAATGGATGTGGGTGGCTGTAGTCAAAA